TTTTTAGTTTTCAATTTTCAACTTTATCAAACAACACCTAAGTCAGGGTTGTTTGGGGTGTTCTAAATAAGTGCACTTTTTGTCTTTTTGAACTAAAAAGTTGAGGAAAAAATATGGTTATTTGGATTAACTTTTTGACTTTTTGTGAAAAAACGTGTATTAACAAATTATATAAATTAGTGTGTAGGAGAAGGTAGGGAGAGTAGCAGTATGGCCAACCGTCTTAGGCAGAGGCATTTGACATAAGAAATGGTTGCCTTATTTGCGGGCATTGCATTGGACTATGATGCTCGGCCCGTGGGGGCTCACCATGGGTCCCTTTTTGCTAATCGAAACCGTTTAATGTGTACAACTCATTGATTATTATATATTTATTGAAAATCACATTGATTGGATATCGATAGCTATCTGAGTGGATTAGTTTTTTTTTCAATTGTTAACTATAACGCCATCCATTTTTTATACAAAACTGATTTGATCATATAGTTAACGATATCTGATCAACGTGATTTTTTGTAAGCATAAAGTACTCGGCGAGTTCTACACATTGAACGGTTCAGATTATCAAAACAGGACCTGTGATGGCGCCCCACGGGCCAAACAACAGCGTGCTTTTTGTGCAATATGGTTGTACAACTTTTTCAAAAGAATTAGCTTCACCTGTGGGACGTCAGACGAGTTTTATTATTTTTTGTGTAAAATTATTTTTTTTAATATTTTTTTTTGGTGAATAGTGATAACTTTTTAAATTTTTTTTTGTAATTTTTTGACTTTTTAGATTATTTTGAAGATGCCAAACCAGGCCTCAATGTCAAGTAAGATTTTCTTGTTTGGGAAGTGGCTAATATAGGCAAAAAGTCATTATAAGTTATCACATCATTTTATCTACTTTTATGCATATATTTTTATAAAAAGTCAAAAAATTAACTAAAATAGTTAATTCCCAAACAAAGTTTATAGCACCAAACATGTAGTCCCACCACTATTGTTTGGCCCCATTTGGGGTGAACTTTTGGAGCTAAAATAGCCACACACAAAAACAAAAAAAAACACTTAACATTACTCTTTTTGTTTTTTTATATATTTGTAAAAAATCAAAACATCAATTAAAATCGATAGACATAGCTTTTACAAAGCCACAGGTATAGGTTGCGTTTACAAGTCAACAAGCCCAAATATTTGGGCCGTTATGTATCCAACCTAGTCAAGTTTCAGTTTTGTATGTTGTCTTTGGGCCATTCCTTTGTATGGTTTGTTCAGGTTTTTCCTAAGTCTGGTCACATATAGGCAGCCCAGTTTTATCATACGTGAATCTTCCCTCACTAAGTAGTTGGTTGACATGTGGGTTTGGCATAGGTTGAGATTATTTTAGTCGCAAAAAGATAAAAATAGATATTTTAATTTCAGATTAAAAATTGTTATATCTAAACTATAGTTATTATATTTATTCTCTTATAAAAATAAAAAAAATCCATTCCAAACGAGATTATTTTAGCTTAGGAATAACCAAAACCCCAATTCAAATCTCAAACGAAACCTAAAAAAAATTATCACATTCTACCAAAGGCAAGTTGTGAGATTTTAACAAAGTACTTTAAAAAATAACTTCAAATAATTAAAAATTAATTTTTTAATCTAAAAATATTTTTAATGTAAACAACTAATTTATATTAATAAATTAATATCTCAATCTTATTTCACATATATCCACTATGACAAACCCTTCAAGCTTAAGCAGTTTTCCCCCCTTAAAACTCATGTTTTGTTAAATAAATTAATGTCCTTAAAATAAATCTTCCAATTAAAAATTTTATTTTAAAAAAATTAAAAGAAGAGATGAAACAACCTAGATTTAAAAAATAACTGAACTTGAATAATATGTTAATTTATTCAATTTTTAAAAAAATACTCAAGTTTAATAAACAACTCTAGAGAACTATCCGCCGAAAATAAAAAATAAAAAAATGTCAAGTAAGATTTTCTTGTTTGGGAAGTGGCTAATATAGGCAAAAAGTCATTATAAGTTATCACATCATTTTATCTACTTTTATGCTCATATTTTTATAAAAAGTCAAAAAACTAACTAAAATAGTTAATTCCCAAACAAAGTTTATAGCACCAAACATGTAGTCCCACCACTATTGTTTGGCCCCGTTTGGGGTGAACTTTTGGAGCTAAAATAGCCACACACAAAAATAAAAAAAAACACTTAACATTACTTCTTTTATTTTTTTACATTTAACATTACTCTTTTTGTTTTTTTATATATTTGTAAAAAATCAAAACATCAATTAAAATCGATAGACATAGCTTTTACAAAGCCACAGGTATAGGTTGCGTTTACAAGTCAACAAGCCCAAATATTTGGGCCGTTATGTATCCAACCTAGTCAAGTTTCAGTTTTGCATGTTATCTTTGGGCCATTCCTTTGTGTAGTTTGTTCAGGTTTTTCCTAAGTCTGGTCACATATAGGCAGCCCAGTTTTATCATACGTGAATCTTCCCTAACTAAGTAGTTGGTTGACATGTGGGTTTGGCATAGGTTGAGATTATTTTAGCCACAAAAAGATAAAAATAGATTTTTTAATTTCAGATTAAAAATTGTTATATCTAAACTATAGTCATTATATTTATTCTCTTATAAAAATCAAAAAAATCCATTCCAAACGAGATTATTTTAGCTTAGGAATAACCAAAACCCCAATTCAAATCTCAAACGAAACCTAAAAAAAATTATCACATTCTACCAAAGGCAAGTTGTGAGATTTTAACAAAGTACTTTAAAAAATAACTTCAAATAATTAAAAATTAATTTTTTAATCTAAAAATATTTTTAATGTAAACAACTAATTTATATTAATAAATTAATATCTCAAACCATCTTATTTCACATATATCCACTATGACAAACCCTTCAAGCTTAAGCAGTTTTCCCTCCTTAAAACTCATGTTTTGTTAAATAAATTAATGTCCTTAAAATAAATCTTCCAATTAAAAATTTTATTTTAAAAAAATTAAAAGAAGACATGAAACAACCTAGATTTAAAAAATAACTGAACTTGAATAATATGTTAATTTATTCAATTTTTAAAAAAATACTCAAGTTTAATAAACAACTCTAGAGAACTATCCGCCGAAAATAAAAAATAAAAATAAAAAAAATAAAAAACTTTAGAGAACTCAAAATGCATTCATTCCTTAATTTTGGTCTTCTCAATTCTTCCTCTAATGATGTGTAATTAGAGAAGTTAAATATGAGGGGATCAGAGCACTTCCACTTGATATTTCAAATATGGTATAATACTTCAACAATCATATTTCGGTATCAAGTATTAACTGCACTTGGTAAGTCAAAAGTTGACGTGGCATTTACCTTTCACGTCAATTTTGACATATTCTTACTTTGTGCATTTTTTTTTTTAAATTAAAGAAGTTTTCATGTAAAATAAGAGTTCAAATTTAAAAATAATAGAAAAATAAATTTGACATATCGGATAGAGAGGTTTCATGTCAAATTAATAAATGTCAATTTGTTACCTAAACTTTTAAAAAAATTTGACATACTAAATTTTGAAGGTTTGGGTGGAGATAATCGAAACTTCCTTCTATACTTTATCTCTCCATACTCTTGTGGGTTTCAATTCGGCCTCATATGGATGATCCAAACCGTTATGTCATACGCTACACAATAAAAATCATTTATACAAAAAATCAATTTCATCAGACAATTATAAATATAAGATTAAATTACATTTTACTTTGTAATATGGATGATTTAAGTTTTATTATAGTTATTATTTATTTTATGAAACAAAATGTGATTTATTTTTATATTTATAATTATATAATAAAGTTAATTTCTGTATGAATGATCTTTATTGAAAGGCCTTGTTTGTCACTCTTAAAAAAGTCAAAAAGTCAAAAGTCACTATCCTATTTAAGTCATGTCATCTTATTTAAGTCACATCACCTTTCTACCATATTACTTCAAACCCAACCTATGTGGTGTTTTGAGAAGTTGGTAAAAAGCTAACTTTTTGACTTTTTTAGTCTATTTTGCTTTTTTGTGAATAAAAAATGTGAGAAGTGATGTGACTCAAAATGAGTAAAAAGTTAAAAGTTGGCTTTTTACTGGGTTGCCAAAGCACTTCTATATTTAGGGGTTGCTTGAGATGACCTAAATAATTGTACTTTTTATCTTTTTACGAAAAGATGTACAGAAAAGTAGAGAAGTAATGTGACGTAAAAAAGATAAAAAGATGGATTTATTTTTGGATTGCCAAACTTAACCTTAATAAAAAGTTAAAAAATACACTTATTTAAAACATCTTAAACAACTTTTAAGACTTACGAGATAGATAGTTTACATCATCAATGGCCCTGTTTGGTAGAGTTATGGGAAAGTGCTTATAGCTTATAACTTTCAACTTAAGCTGATTTCCAGCTTATTCTTAAAGCATCTCCTGCCCCACTCAAAGAATAAACTGATTTCTGATTTCCAAAAAGCTATAAGTTATAAGCTATAAGTTAAACTAAACACATCAAAATAGTTTAAATTAAGCTGAAAATTGAAATAAACTGTAATTAAGTTCTGCCAAACGGACACAATGTGCCTGTTTGGCAGAAATTATTTACAGCTTATTTCAGCTTTCAGCTTAATTTAAGCTATTTTGATGTGTTTGGTTTAGCTTATAGCTTATAGCTTATAGCTTATAGCTTTGTGGAAGTCAGAAATCAGCTTAAGCTGAAAGTTATAAACTATAAGCTGTTTAGGCATAAACTATAAGCACTTTCCCACAGCTCTACCAAACTGGACTAATATAAGTTTGGATTTAAACTTACAACTTATACCAAATGGAAGAGGTAGAAGGGTGAAAAATCACTTCATATGAAAGTGAGTCAGCTTATTAGTGGTGAAAATTAAGAGACAAAATTAAAGAATGTGAACATAATTTGCACAAAACAATTCAACATCACATAGGATATCAAATTAAAATAAATTATACTGAGAAAAACTAATCAACACCAAAACACCATCACTATTATTATTAAAAATCATCAAATTAAAGATTTGTTGTAATCTTACTGTGCATGTATCGACTTCCATTCAATCCTTGTCGTGAAACCATCACCACCACCACACTGCTCCACCTCCACCCCCACCGACGCCGCCAATTTAACTCATCAGCCCAAATGGGCAAACAAAGACGATCCCAAACCCAAATTCAAACTCAGCCCCACCCTGACGCCACCACCACCGCCGCCACAACAACCACCACCGACCTAGCCATTGCTCCTTCTCAACCCCCCTCTCCCACCACCACCAAAACCAAAATCCCCATCCGCCGCCGAAAGAAACGTAAACTCTCCGCCGCCGCCAAATCACATCAAGAAAACCCTAAATCCAGCTCCCCCAAGAACAAGCTTTACCCCCTTCAACCTAAGCCAATTCAGAGAATCGTCTCTCGATCACTGTCTTGCGATGGCGAAATTGAAATCGCCCTTCGACACCTTCGAAATTCCGATCCCCAACTCGCTCCTCTTATCGAAATCTACCCACCCCCGACTTTCGATTCTTTCCAACCCCCATTCCATGCCCTAGCCAAAAGCATTCTCTACCAACAACTCGCTTGCAAGGCTGGAACTACGATCTACACTCGCTTCGTCGCCCTCTGTGGCGGCGAATCGAGCGTTCTCCCAAACACCGTTCTTGCCCTAAACCCTCAGCAGCTTCGACATATCGGCGTTTCGGGTCGAAAAGCTAGTTACCTTCATGATCTTTCGAGGAAGTACCAAAATGGGATTCTCTCTGATTCGTCAATTGTCGAAATGGACGATAAATCTCTCTTCACAATGCTTACAATGGTTAATGGGATTGGGTCTTGGTCAGTTCATATGTTCATGATTTTCTCTCTTCACAGACCTGATGTTCTTCCAGTAAACGATCTGGGTATTCGCAAAGGTGTTCAGCTTCATTTTGGGCTTGAAGACTTGCCTCGGCCATCGCAGATGGAGCAATTGTGTGATAAGTGGAGGCCCTATCGGTCTGTTGCTTCGTGGTACATGTGGAGGTTTGCGGAAGCCAAGGGGGCGCCTTCGAGTTCTGGGGCATTGGCTGCACCTGCCACGAGTTTGCAGCTGCAACAGCAAGAGCAGCAGCAGCAGCAGCAGCAACAGCATGAACACCAACAACAGCAACACCAGCAGTTTTTGGATCCTATCAATGGCATTCTCAATCTGGGGTATTGTTCCTTCCACTTCAATTCATAGTTTGTGCGTGTGTGTGTGTGTGTTAAAGCACACTGCTTTTGAGTGATTCAATGGCTTCTTAATAAAGTTATTCAAGCTCTATATGTTCATACTGCTGCATTGTCTTATTCATTCTTGTCAATCCTGGTAGTGTTGAGTCACTTTAATCTATATGCGTTGGACCTGCTCTCAAATTCTTGTGCAAGTAGACATTTTTGAAAATATTATTTTGCCCTATGTACTTATCTTGTTTTATTTATTTGTCTTTTTAGAGCTATTGTTTTCTTTTGAGTTCCTACTTATCAGTCTCATGCTTGCTCTGTTTTATTTAATTTTTAGTCAATAAATCATTGTAGGTAAGAAATTCAACTTGCTAGTGTTGATTCTCGTGATGCTTTTTTTTATTAACTTTTTTACTTCATCCCTGATTATCCGTAGTTCTAGTGTCTCAGCCATGCATGGGAGCATTTAATGTACCAGACAGCTTGTAACTGGCAATTTTGCCTATAGTGAACAGGCAAAAGATTTTAAAACTATAATATCTGTTGTTTTATTTCACGGCTAAGCCCTTAGCTTACTTTGTCTGCAATTTTGTTATTTATCGAACGCTATAAGGTCCGAATCTATTGTCAAGCAAATTACATAAGAGATGACAGAACCTTCACTCCTCTATCTAAAAGGGCAAACAGAAGTAAACTTCTCCCTTTCCAGGCTGTCCCTTCCTTTATTTCAGCTAGACAGGCTAGGACAGAGACTATTGTCTTGTGCTTGCGTGCATGCAGGTTGCTTGTTTCACTCACTTCATCCGGTAGAGAAGCCTGAATCCCTAGGGTGGGGGGTATTTCTGTATGCTTGTTCCTGAAGTATAAAACGTTCCATTTGTTCCTGATGGCATCCTCATTGGATTGAGGAAGCTCTTGACTATTATTTGAGCCCTTATGTAGTTTTGCGCCTGGGTATTGTGGATATTTGTCTTTAACCATAATGTCTGGGCTTTTTCAAAGTGAGGGTTTGAGTGGCTAGGTCAAATGCAACTAATTTTATCAATCTACTGCAATGGTGTGTTTGAAAGATAAAATTTAACTGTAAGTTGCTACAGATGGTTTGGCCTGCTAACATTCAGCCCTGATTTGATCAGAGATAATCACTGTGGTGTACATATATGCTTGATATTCGTGGAGATTGAAATGATTTGTATACAAAAGATGAGCGATTTCCAATTGTTTATTTTAATTGATAGATAGATGTAACAAAAAGTTACAATATGATTAACCAAAATTCTATAAGAAGAAAGAGTTGCCAGCAAGAGTATGTCCTGTAAATTGGGTTGTTTGGAATTTATGAACTGATCTAACATAGTCATCTCATTTCACTTCATCATAGTTTGATTTGAATAGGTCATTGCGAAGTCACATACCAGTGGAACTTATAATTGGTGAACATATGCCGGAAGTGGTGATACCCTGATTCTACGTTGACGTGTTGATAAATGCATATGTCTGAATCGGCGTAACTAAAAGGTGTAGTGGTTGTGTTTGCATGGAGATGAGCCCCATACATACTAGCAAATCTGAAAATAATATTTGGTGTATAAATTTAGAAGCTGCTTTAAACAGACTTTTTGAACAACACATGCAAGTGAGGGCTATGGGATTAGCACCTTCATACAGTTGTTAAATGAGGAATCATCATTGTATTTATACACATTTCCTTTTCGGTAGATAAAGTATCCTTGTGTCAGACGCAGGGAGATGTTCTGTTATTGTTTCTGCCACACCAAGTTTCATAGTATTCTAATGTATCATAAGATAGAACCATGATAAACCCCTTATCAAGATCTTGTTTATTCAATTCCATAATAGAGAACACGGCTACAGATTCCAACCACATAGCCAACTGTGTCTAGTTGCTTTAGGTCAATATCATTAGCTGGTTTGTGGTATATACTGGAATCGAGTATTTTTAACTACTATGTGTCATATTGGTAAGCTGATGTTTGTGGTTGATCTTAAGGGGAGCTGAGTTTCTTAATATCCCGACTGTTAAAACAATGTTTTTGTTTACATCTTTGCACTTCCTCCTTTTATTGCCACTGCTGCTGGTATGCTAGCCTAGCATTTAAGAATGGGATGATCTAGTGGTATGATGTGATTATGTGAATCACTAGAAACATGTGAATTGTATTAAATTTTGTTAAATTGGGATTAGAGTGGGCTACTAATACGTACCCAAAAAAAAAAAAAAAGACTCTACTATTGATTGATAAACTTTATTATTTGACACGAGTGGGCCTCACCCATCATGGGAGTAAGGGCTGTAAATTCATCAAAAATAATGCGGATTTACCAATTTCCTTTGTTGTTTTTATTAAGGAAAATATATGAATCAAAACTATTAAATATTCCAGGATCCAGTTGATAGTTGTAGTTTTGTGGTGGAAAGAAGGCTTTACTGGCAGCTAATTTTTACTTGTCTTTTTCTCTTTTCTTGGAATATCATTTGGTGGAATGTCTTTTTGAACCTCTATCGTTTGGGCATGTAGCTTTATACTATGGTATTCATTGCAAGTTCAAATTCTGATGTATGGATTACTCAATTCAACTCAATTGAACAAGCTTTAGTTCTAAATTATGTAGGAACTATTTTTCAAAAAAATGCTTTTTTTGTATGTTTCTATAAAAGTTGCGTTGCTTGAGTGTTTGAACTAATAATGACCAACCTGAAAATTTAATGACGAGAGTTTTCCTATTTCATCCCCAAGTCTTGTTTTTGATTCTTTAAATCTTCAAAATTCATAAATTTGGGTCTCGTTTGGCAAGTGTTTGTTTTAGCCTAAAAGTCAAAAAGTTACTAAAAAAATCAAAAAGCCTATAACCTATACAAAAAAGTCAAAGATTTCATTTTCTCTCTATTTTTTATATATTTTTTCATAAAAAATCAAAAAGTTATTCCAAACATACTAGTTTTTTTACTTCATATTTTAGTCAAAAAGTTACTAAAATAGTTTGTTCCCAAACAAGGCCTAAACATTTCATTGTCAAAAAAACAAAGGAACTGGCATCTTTTTGGTAGATTTGGTGGTTTTCAATGCTGCAAATTCGATTCTCTTCTCTGAAGAAAAGCTTGTTAGATGGTTTCCTAATGTCTACAGATATTTCACGGGCAGTAAAAAATTTACTTTGAATCTCAACATTTAGCATCTCAGTCCTGAATTATTCGTCTAGGGATATATGCTGGAATAGGGACAAATTCATATGAACAATAGATTGAGTGATTGGTGATAATATGTTCCCTCTTTTCTGCTAAATGTTATTTCGTAGTTCACATGAAGCTATTTTGTAGGGTGAGCTTATTGTATATCTTGGGTTAGCACTGTGAATGTAATGTTACTATATATTGTTTAAAGTCATAAATATATTTGTATGACAAGATCATGTGGAACCAAAAGTGGTTCATGACCAGTGTGATATGAACAACATCGTTTGCCATAAGTATGTGTTTTTAATATCTACTAATAAAAAAATGAATGTGCTTTTACCAACACCTTTTCAGTTTCATTCTGTGATATATTCTTATATATGTAGTTGTTCTAGCATGTATTTATGGTGGTTATTGTTCTTTTTCTTTGCTGTGTGATGTAGGGCCTGTGCGTGGGGACAATGATTGGGATCAGAAAGTGTTGTTTTGATTATGCTCATCCATCCATCACTTTGAGAAGGCGGCTTTAAAGCAGTGGGAGGAAGATTAGGAGATTACTTGGTGCAAAAACCTTGGATTGTCGAGGCTCTTGAGATGAGCACTTTTAACTTCAATCTAGTAAATTATTTGCTTCGGGTTTTAAAATAAAAACTATATGCACTCTTAGTTCTCTTTGTGTCCAAGAAATGCCAGTTCTAAATTGTTAATTTTCTTTCATAGGACTGCTTGGAAGCTGATGTATCATCAAAATGCTTGCACATTTTGTTTAATTTGAAACAGCATGTTCACTTGTACTTCACTGCCTCTTCTATTCTTCATTATTATTTGTAGATGTCTTTGGTCTATGCTTAAAATGGAAGCACTTATCCTCAATCCCAATTCTCACTATGCCAAATTTGGGCTTTAGCGGCGGTTTTTTACCGCCGTTAAAGGATGTAAAACCACTGTTAAAGCCTTTAATGGCGTTTATACTCGTGTCGGAAAAGGTACAACTGTCGTAAAATGGTAAATTACCATTGTTAAAAGTCGACCAAAAACAGTAGTTCTTTATCGCCGTAAATAGGTTCAAATTTTTAAAAAAGTAATTCTCTCTTCTTGCACCCCTAGGTCTCAAACCCTTGACCTCTAATCTAAACACGCCCAACCACTCTACCACAGCCACTCTATATGAAATATATTTTCTAAATAAATATTTAAACATTACTTTTGTTTTATTGTAGATAGTCATGTTCAATCTCTGGCGAGTGAGTTCCGCCAGAGCTCTGTTAGCAAAGACCGCCGTCATTTACGGTGGTAATGAGAGGGCTTTAGCGGCGGTTTCGTTATCGCCATTAAAAGAGGGTTTTAGTGGCAGTTTTTTTAACGGTAGTTTCATTACCGCCGTTAAAGATACTTTAGCGGCGGTTTTTTTAAAGGCGGTAATGAAACCGCCATTAAAGATACATTAACGACAGTAACGAAAGCTGTCGTTAAAAAAACAGCCGTTAATGCCCTGTTTTGACATAGTGTGGGTAACTGAAGACATTTTTAGGGTACCATGGAGTTTCTTTGTAAAGATGATATCACATTGGCAGATTAAAATTTGATTGTACTTCATGGTACCATGGAGTAACTAAGGCAATTATTTTTGGTTGAGTTTTCAGAAATTATTTTTAAAAATAAAAATTAGTTTGATGAAAAAAAAAAAGAACTTTTTTAGTTTTCAAAACTTATTTATCCAAAAAAAAAAAAAAACCATAAGAAAATAATGGGTTTATTTATTTAATTTTTTTATTAAATAATTTTTAAAAAAATTAAAAAAAACATATTAACAAAAACATTGTACTATTTCTAAGTTAAGTGACTTGGATATCAAATATAATTTGCTTAGGAACTATCAAATTCAAAAAAAATTAGTGCCACCTTATTATTTATTCATACATTTGATATAACTCATTTTAATGATAATTTTTTTTATCAAATTTGTTTAAGAACCGTCATGTTAGGGTCTGTCATGTTAGGGTCTATCGAGCTCATCACGGATGATGATCTTTGTAAAGTTTTCTATATATATTATTTCTAAAAAATAGGTCCACCTGATAGTTTTAATCTTATCATATTTGTCGTCAAAAAAATAAATTATTTATTTAAAAAAAATATTCTTGTCATTAATTTTTTTTAGAGACAAATGAAATAAAATAAAATAAAATAAAAAGACTACAATTATCATATATATCTAATTTTTATTTTTATTTTTATAAATAATATAATAGAAAACTCTACATAATAAAATATTTAGCTAATGGAAACGAAATTTATGATAGGCTCCATGATGGTCAAGTTTAAATTTAAAACTTAAAAGAAGCTCAATCTTAAAATTTTGAAAAAAAAAAGGTGTGTGTTAGGTACACTAGTTTTTCTTACCATTATCAAACTCTTTAAATTTAGCAAATTTCTTTTGTTTTTTTGGGTGCTAAATTCTTACACTTACAAATACACCGCAGACACATCCATTGGAACCAAAAAAATTCCTTTTTTCTATTAACCTCATACACTTGAATGCAAACACCACAACATCAATTTTGAAGGCTTTTAGTGATTTGTCTTTCGCAACCCATCAGACCAAATTAAGCAAGCACTGAACAACCTTCCAAAGCGAGAAGAAGAAGTGTTTGAAAGCCGGCTATTGAACCAGTCATCATCATTTTGTGCCTTTAAGTTTCAGCAAAATAATTTAGGAAACATTAAAAAAAATTCTCGAATTTGAGCTCATAAACATTAATTTTTTGATGTATTTTCAATATAAACTATTTGTCTATTTTGGTTCGGTGAAACTGGTAAAAAAATATACTTTAGTTATTAAACTCAACGAAAATAAATATTTTAAATATTTTATGGACACTTACATTAAGTTTAATAACAAAATAATAATTTTTTCAATCGATTTGATTTAACGAAAATAAATTGATGGTTTAGATTGAAAATAAATCAAAAAATTATAATTTAAATTGATAAAATTAAAAATTCAGAATTTATTTTGTTACAAGGCTCAAATCTTAAATTTTTGTTGTAATTTTCCCAATAATTTATATTAATGGTAATAAAAAGGGAAAAATAGTGAAACATTGGATAGTAGGAGATATTTAATATGTTTTTCTTTTCTTATTAGGCCTCGTTTGGGAACATGTTATTTTAATAACTTTTTGACTTTTTATAAAAAAATATGCAGAAAAATAGAAAAAGTGATGTGACAACTTATAGTGACTTTTTGGGATTTTAACTATAATACTTAATTCCCAAATGAGGCCTTAGTTAAGGTCCCTCAATAATATTATTAGAGAAGTTTATTTATGAAAATGTTGAGAGACTCTAACTATTATGAAACTGTTGCATGTTCTTTATTTTATAAAACCATAATATCATGCACCCTAAACTAAAACTCTTAATAAAAAGGGATTGGATTCTCTCCAATCTCAAATCGAACTAAAAATGCACCATCCCTGTAAAAAGTCAAGTTGATCGGATAACGGTAAACATGTGTTTGGACCAATTTTGAATAAAAAAAAGGACAGTGCAAAATTGATAAGAACACATAGTTATTGTTATCCGATTAATTTGATTTTTTGCAGGGATGATATACTTGACAAACTCTAAAATATGAATGGTTCAGATTATCTAAACAGGACTCAAAAGGATGTCCAATAAGCCAGACTGAACTGTCTAGTCTGATTTAGAACAGAAGACATCCAAGTCCTAATAAAAATCTTACAAAGTCAAAATATTTACAATTCCAATACAAATTGTATATTTCAAAATATTTTTACATATTATTAATTATTGTTTATACACATTTCAATACATAAAGGTGCACAATTTTCAATTTTTAAAACAGTCCAAATTGTTTTGAGTATTTTCCATTATTAAAATATGATGGGTATGCCATGTGAATCTTCATAGAAAGTGAAAAAAACAAAAAAAACAAGGGCAAATTGCAAACACTCCCCTCGAGGTTTGGTAAAAATACAGATTCCTCTTGAGGTTTGAGAAATTACAAATAACCCTCTGAGGGTCAAATTTTCATAACAAATTAGGAAAAAAAAGGGGGAATTTGTATGAAAATAAAAACCTCAGGGGACAATTTGTTATGAAAATATAAACCTCAGGGGGCGAGATGTAATTTCTCAAATCTCAGGAAGGAATCTGTATTTTCACCAAATCTCGAGGGGGTGTTTGTAATTTGCCCAAAAAACAAAAACAAAAACAAAAGAAAAGATAGCGTTTGATTTTGTTTTCAAATTGTGATTTGAATTAAAAAAAATTAAAATTAATAAGCAAACAAAATTTTTAAAGCTCTTTTATAAAACTTATTTAAAAAAATTCATAACCAAACAAGTTTTTAAAATTTTATTTTTTAAGAAAAAAATTTCGAAAAAATATTTTTTTATTTTGTTGTTTAAAATTATTTTTTATTTTTTATTTCTGAAATTTTTTTATTATATTTTATTTTTTAAGTATTAGTAAAATAATTTGTTATAACTTGGATATATGGTGGTCCAAAATTTTTTTAAAGTTAAAAATAAATAAATATTTAAAAATAATAAAAAATATTTATAATAAAAAAATAAATATTTAAAATATTGAAAAAAAGTTTTAAAAAAAAATTTAATTTTCTTAAATAACTTTTGTCTAAAATTTTTTAAATATTAAAAAATAAAAAAAAAATTGTTGGAAAAATAAAGTAGATAAATAATTTTTTTTACTAAAATAAATTAAATAAAAAAAAATTTCTAAAAAAAAATTTCAATTTTTTTTTTCAAGATTTATAACCAAACAAGCCTCAAAACTCTTTTCAAAATTTATAATCAAACAATTTTTCTCTTGTCAAAATTCATTTTAAAAATTTATCTTTCAAACTATAACTTAAAATTCAAAACTAATTTAAAAAACAAAACCAATCAGGAAAAAAAAAATAGTAAAATCTATATGGAGATTCTACCGTCCGTCCTTCTGGCCCATTATAGTAATTTTTTGGCAAAACAGTTAGCGCCGTTTGTTTTGGGGTATGAGAGAGGGATTGAGATTAGAATAGCTGTAAATCCTATTTAATGTACTATTTGTTTACAGAGTTGAGGAAGGGACTGGTAAGTCGAAGGGCTTAGAATAGGCTTTGCAGATGGGATTCGGATGTGCCTTCAGGACCTAGTATTAGAAAAATAATCTAGCGGACTAGAAATTTTTTCTTTTTATTTATTTTTTACATGTCGGGTATTTTTTTTGAACATTAATGTTTAATTTTTTGTATTTTTTGTTAAGTAAAAATCATTATTTTATTTTTATTTGTTTTTCTGAAATTATTTTATTTTATTTTTATTTTTTAAAATTTTTTTACATTATGGGTATTTTTTTTAAAACATTAATGTTTAATGTTTTTATATTTTATTTATTTATTTTATATAAAAATAATTTAACAATCTCTACACTAACAACTATCATCAAAACAAACACTGTTTTAATATCGGCAATCCCCTCCATTCTATCTCTGAAAACAAACAGGACCTTAGAGAATATCGGCAAGCATCCTTTGTTTTCTAATCCAGAATCATTCAACAAAATTTAATTTTTTTTTAACACAGAATCATTCAACAAATGATTACAAGAATAATTAGTGTAATAATTGGTAACATAAACATTAAAAAAAAAAAAAAACCATTTTAGTAAAAGAATATTCCCACTTTAACAAAACTGTGAGATGTGAGCATATATGCTTGTAAAAAATGCCACCACACACAGCATTGAAAACAACGATCGAGGAATGTAAAACATCAACAATACGACGTTATTGAGTAATACTAGTCGGATATTCTCATCGAATATCTGCGTATTGACAATACGACGTTATCGAGTGAGTAATGCTAGTCGGATATTCTCATCGAATATCTGCGTGTTCGCTTCTACCTTCCATTTTTAAATTGTTCACTGAGGCCCAGTGTCGAACACCACGTATGCCCTGTCTTTTCTTCGATCTAAAATGGGTAAATTACACTCTTACTCCCCTGAGTTTGAGCGAAATCCTCAAACTTCAACTCGTGTTTCAATTTAGTTTTTCAAAAACAACATTAGTTAAAATTTGAGTGAAACTTGAAATTTGAGAGGTTAGTAGTAGTTCTTCTAGTTTCTTCTAAATTTCACTTTTTTCACTTTAATTTTTCGCTTATTGTTTTCGTGTTCAAAACGATAATAACAACGGATAAAAAGATCACGGTGCAATTGGAAGTATGGGTTCACATTGATAAAACTAAAATTATAAAGATTAAACTGAAATTTCACTAAAATTATAGAGATGAATAGCCTAATTTATCTATTAAAAATTATCCATCTTGACTCTATATACAATGAGTAATGTTAAGGATCACGACACAATCTCATTCTCGGCACTATATATATAACACCCCAAACAAGGTCGCTACACTACCAATCCTACACAAACCCAACACCAACACACAACACATAATACCATGAATTACGAGAACTATGACCCTTGTTTCCCAGACCAGCCAGTGGTCGACCAATACCTCCCATTATGGGCTAACCTCCCATCCTTCCGGACCAAACCAGCCTTCATTTGGGCTGAAGAAGGCTCAACCGGTGCGACCAAGGGCTCAACCTTAACCCTCACCTATTCTCAGCTCAACAACTCAGTCCAGTCCATTTCCTCTCTGCTTCTAAACCCATTACAGAGAGGTGACACTGTTGTCATTCTCTGCTCACCGGGCCTCGAGCTCGTCGAGATCATCTTCGGGTGCCAACGGGCCGGGCTTTTATTAGTACCCATCGTCCCACCCAACCCAACTTTCTCTAACAATACCCATCACCACCTTGTTCGGGTCCTCTCCCAAACAAAGCCCAAAGCCGCCATAGCTCACTCCAATTACATCAAACATGTTCGACAATACATCTCATCATCATCTTCAAGCAATCGACAGCTCTGCGAGCTCTTAAAAAACCTTAAATGGATTGCTTCGGACGAAATCAGAGCCAAGAAAGCGAACCCAAAATCAAATTTAGTGTCGTACAATGGCTGCAAACCGAACGAGGTGTATCTAATTCAGTACACTTCGGGGGCAACTGGGATAACCCATACCGTCCTTGGTTTCAGCAGGATCAGCAGCTCAACAATGTCAGAACAGCAAGGAAAGCTTATGATCTTCATCCCAATAGCATCATTGTGTCATGGTTGCCACAGTACCATGACTGTGGCCTAATGTTCTTGTTACTAACTATCGTTTCGGGCGCAACTTGCGTTCTGACATCCCCTACAGCGTTCATAAACCGCCCGAGACTATGGCTCGAGCTCATAACCGAGTACAAGGCTACTTGTACCCCGGTCCCATCATTCACATTGCCACTCGTTGTCAGGCGAGGCGCGGGGAGTCAGGGGACTCTGCCTGTAAATTTGTGGAGCATGAAGAACTTGATCATAATCAACGAGCCGATTTACAAGGCTTGTGTTGAAGAATTTGTGGAAAAATTTAGGCCTTTTGGGCTAAACCCGTCTTCGGTTTCTCCTTCTTATGGGTTAGCTGAGAACTGCACGTTTGTTTCAACAGCATGGAGGAGCCATAGCAACAATGCTAGCTTACCCAGTTACAACAAGCTCTTGCCAAGTGCAAGGCTTGGCGAAGAAGGCGAAGAAGAAGAGATTGACATTGTAGTGGTGAATGAAGAAACACTTGAAGCTGTTGAGGATGGGATTGAAGGAGAGATATGGGTTTCGTCTCCTAGCAACGCTTCTGGCTATCTGGGACACCCTTCGTTAACTCGCCAGGTGTTTGATAGGAGACTCAGAGACAAAGTGAGCCGGTGCTTCATAAGAACCGGTGACCGAGGAGTTGTCAAAGGAGAAGAGAGGTTTCTCTTTGTTACCGGTCGGTCTAATGATCAAATTGTGCTTCAAAATGGACAAGAAATACATCCTCATTATATCGAGACAGCGGCTTATAAAAGCTGTCGAGAGATTTTAAGAGGAGGTTGTCTTGCTGCATTTGAAATTTCAAAAACTCTAGCTATTGTTACTGAGTTGCAGAGAAGTGTGAGTGAGATTAGGGTTTTGAGGAGGATTTGTGAAGGAATAAGGGAAAGTGTGATGAAGGAAACGAAAGTTGGAGTTGGGTTGGTGGTTCTTGTCAAGAGTGAGAGTGTCCCGAAGACTACTTCGGGGAAGATACAGAGATGGGCAGCTAAAAATAGGCTTTCGGAGGGCAAAATGAATGTGATCATGGAAATGCAGTTTGATGATCATGATCGCGATTCGACATTAATTGGTGAATTTGAAGGAGATGGAAGAAGTGAAAAGGGAAGGAATTCAAGGAAGGTGGTAGATGAAGAAACAGCAGGGATGTTTTTCTCAGTCTCAAAAGCTCCAAGTCGTGTTTCTCTCCTCTCTTCTCTGTAGGATTACAAAAGGCTTTTGTTTTGTTTATGGTGTTTTATTTATCTCTAGTACAACGTGTTTTGAATATTTGAATAGAAAAGTTTTTGTCTTCCATGGTTCCCCTTTAGGCTGTGTTCAGTTAAAAGTTTTGGAGAAGAATTTGAAAAAAAATAAATAGAAAACCTATATGAAATTAGATGAAATGTAATTATATTTTATTCATATTGTACTTATCTTTTTCATTTCTCTTTCTAAATTTATTTTCAGATTCTCCAACTAAGGTTTCATTTGGGAAGTGAGTTGACTTTTTAGTTTTTTAACTATTTTAGCCTGGGGCTAAAAAGTCTTGTTTGGGAAGGACTTCTGAATTTTTTGACTTTTTTGTGAGAGAAAGAATGTAATAATCATAAGTTGGATGTAATTTTTATCTTAATGAACTAAAAAGCCTTTTTTTTTTTGTGTGAAAATGAGAATAAGGAAGAATAGAGGCCTCGTTTGGTGAAAATCTGTTAAAACAACTTATAGATTATAGCTTAACAGATTATAAATTATGACTTTAATCAGAAGTTGCTAATCTGTTTGGTGTAACTGTTGGATTATAGATTTAAGTTGCTGAGTAGTATTTGTTAAATAAGCTGTGAAATAACTTTTTCAATTAATTTTTATTTTTTTGTTTGTCTACATTTCTCATAAACAAAAAAAATAATAATCTATAGTCCATTTGGATCTTTTTTCTATTTTTAAAAAAATAAAAAATAAAAAAATCTAAGAGTATAACCATAAATTAGCATGTACACAGCAGAAGCTGATAATCAGAAGCAAGGGGTGAGCAGCTTCTCAGAATCAGTTTTTTGAGTTAAAATAAGTTGTTAGAATCAGAAGCTGTTTGAAATAAGTTTAACCAAACAGTCCAAAATAATTTTTTCAAAACTAAAAACCATAAGTTAATTTTGAAAAGCTGAAACAAACCCCCAGAGTAATCAACTTTAAAGAATAGAGTGACCAACTTTGTTTGCATGGAGGTAGGACTGAGCAAGGAATCCGTGAAATACGTAATCCGATCCAGTCTAGTCCAATCCGATAGGTTTGGGTTGATTTTTTGAATCCGCGGTTCGGTTCCGGATTGAAGAATTAAAAATTCGTAGTCCATGGATTGGACCCCACGGTTTCGGATTGGAACCGATCCGGACCATATACAAATAGTCTATATTTTTATTATACATCCTCCCCCATAGTATCTTCTCTTATTCTATATAAAATCTAAACTCAAACCTAAAACCGTATAATATCTTCTTTTATTACTTTTGTTTATTAGTTTTTAGTTTTAATTTGTAATGGTTTAAATACTTATAGTGAAACCAGTTTTCTTATAGTTGTTTAAATTCTAGAACAGTATGTCACTATTATAGAAAAAACATATTGCTATTGTGGAATTAATATAACGCTATGTTTATATTTTTATGAAATTAAAGTGTTATATATACATATATATACATATATATATATTTTTGTTATTTAATTATGTGAATCCATGGTCCTAAACCAATCCAATCCGTATTTAAATGGATTGGTTCGGATTGGTTCCATGATTTAAACGGATTGAATTGGTTTCAATTTTTCAGAAACCGTAAATAATAAATTAGTCCTAATTTTACCTCAATTCAATCTAATCCGGACCATGCTCACCCCTACATAAAGGAGCACAGACCATACTTAAATAATATTATAAATAATCCGACTTTAAAAAGCTAGATATAAAAGGACATAAGTAGCACATGAAGTTATCCCCTCCAATAAAGTTAGATTGGTCTTTTCCAAAGTCGTGATGGATTGAAAAATTATTCGTTGCTCAAAAAATTTTCCATTCGAATGGCTCGAATTTTTAAAATGATATCGTTTTGAGTAATTTTTTTTCTCTTTTTTCTCTCGTTTATATCTGAAACAGAGGGAGGACGAGAGAGAGGGAAACAGATAGAGAGAGAGCTCTACCCACTTGTATGGGAAGCAAATATTCCACGGAGCCCGTACTCCTTTCGTCCAAGCTCCTTGTCTATCCAATCGACCTGAGAGCACAATGACGGTGAGCTACCCGGCGGTGTGTGGCCGGAAAACCCTTCCGACGGTCAAGTTAGCACACACACTCAGGAAGAGAGAGAGGAAGAGAGAGATATATCACAATGAGTGTTTCTCATCAAATGATGTTCCATGCCTAGCATGGGGGGTGCAGTCATGCTTATATACTTTCTACGCTCAACTCTGCACCCATTAGTCTCTCGACACGTGGAGTTGTTCTCCCATCTGTCAGCACAAATCCAGCGAACACCACCTAACCAAACCGTCAGACAACATTAGCGGGAACTCGGCAGCCCGACAACATTACCTCGGCCTTCCACGACCGTGCTGCGTAACGTGCTTGAGTGCTCCACTCGCCGAGCCCCATAACGACCGAGCTCGATAGCATTTCGGCAGAGCCGAGCTCAAGACAAGTCGGCCGGTGAATAGAAGACATTTCCCGCCGAGCTACGCGTGCGACCCATGGAACCCGGGTTGGCAGGCGGTCATCTCGGCCAAGTAAGCTCGTTCCAAACATGGGACCTGGACCTCAGGCCTGGGCCTCGACCAAACAAGATCAACTCCAGGGAAGCCCCAGTTAGCTCGGCCTAAACAGAGGGCCCGAGCCACGACCGAGGGAAACCCACTCGGAACAGGCCCAAATTAGCTCGGCCCAAACGTGCTCGGCCCTATCTAGTCCGACTTCCTCCACGGCCTAAAGCCAGATTATAAATCTCCCTCTCAATTGTCCCTTAATTCCGTTCGTACAAGCGTGACTGGGATTATCTGATCCGATCGGGGTAGATTCTTCCTTGGTTTTTAGTTCGAAAAATGTTAACAGCGCTAATCCCTAAGCTCGGTTCTTGATTTGCTCGGTTGACGTCTCAACTCGCCTTCTTGTCTCTTCAATACTGACGTCACTGTCAATGGGGACACGCGTCGATCATTTATTGGCCTCGAGTAGCTAACCTAGCCGTCTCTTCAGATTCAAATTTAGGCGGTTCTTTTCTCCTATAAACACGTCACATCCCTCTTCATTTTCTTCCTACTGTCTCTCTTTTATTCCAGACGACTTGTAGTGCCCTCCATTGCTTTTTCAAGCTCCATTCTTGTTTTCTACCGCGTTCGTGCTTGAAAACTCGACTTCTGCCCTATTCTGGTAAGTTCTTCGAACCCCTTTATTGCTTTTTCATTTGAGATTTCACATTTTTGGGCACGAAAAACCATTGGTTTTAGGATATAACCTCCCAAAACCCTCTTTTGCCCCTGCTCTCTTTATTGTTCTTCAACCTCAGTGATGAACACACGAGGATCTGGGGCGGACCGGGCTCCTGGTCTTCGTTTGATCCCAAAAAACACCAACACCGAGCAAGTTGTAGGTTTGCAAAACTCGCGTACGAACCGAGGTAACAAAGTGCTGGACCGCTCGACCGGGCTAAAATCCGGCCCGCTTGAGCGATCGAGCTTATGGGTTTACCCTTGTGACCGAGATGGTTAGGCATTCCATCTAACCGAGCTAAAGTCAAGCTCATTTTGCGCTCCTGCGCTCCCGCTTACACTTAAACTTCCTTTTACTGCAGAGTCCAAGGGGACTACGCACCAATACTGAGGCTCTCTAAGGCCGAGCAGCCATCAACTGAGAAATTTGCCAAACCAACACAGCCGTGCTAAAACCAGCCTGCTACACATGGGGCGCTACCGCTTCCTGATTGGCATGCCGGTCGCACTAGCCGCGTTTTGGGAAGAATACGGTGTCCCCGCCGACGTACATCTAGAGCTCGGTGCCGAGGACACAACCCCTTGGGGCAGACTAGACCAGTGCCCTTTTACCGTGCTTTCCATTATCGAAGGCGGCCTTTGCTTCCTGGTCAACCCTTTAATGTGCGAGTTCCTGAGGCGCACTGGACTAGCACCAACCCAAGTTTCAACCAACACTTATAGGATAATTAACGGGATAGCTGAGCTGAACAATCGGCTAGGCCTGAGCTTAGAACTAGCCGAGATACGTCGCCAGTACACCCTAGGGCATACCAGCGATGGTCTCAACTACTATTTAAAAATCAGACCGAGCAAGGAGAAGATAGTAACCGGTACCCCAGATAAAGACATGCACGACGATGACTTTTTTTGGGTGTCTGGTAATTATAAAATAGCCGACGTGCCGGGCTGGTATATCAGCAAGAACTTCAGTTCAACATGTAAGCCGTGCTAACTGCTCTTTGCAGCCATTGAAGCTTTGCAAGCCCACTATTACAACCCTAACGAATCAGCCATCAGAACCGTGCTTCGGTACAGTAACTGGGATTGCCACGAACTTCTCAGTTACGTTTCGACCTACAGATACTCCACTCCCCGCTGAAGTAGAGTGACAGACTTCCTTCGAGCGCCGTCCCCACCTCCTGATCCAACACTACCGGACATGCCCCTTATCCGGTTGACCGAAGCAGAGGAGATGGCGAAACGAAGCCGCATCAAAAATATAATCACCGCCACATCCACCGAGCTACCAAGCATCCCCTCCCGCACAGTCGTCACCGATTAATCAAGTGGGACCGTGGTCGCGTTGGCGTCAACCGCCGCGGTGCAGACAAGCAAGGAAAGTCGTCGCACTGGTAAAAGGCCTCGCACCGTCGATCCCTCAGTCGAGCTCGTAACGGAGCTGAACACCGAGCAACCAGCGATCACAACTGACCCAACACCTCCATGGAAGCCCCAACTGAAGCACCGGGGAAAAGAGATCCCGGCCAATGCTTCGGTCAAAGGGGACAAAGGGCACCTCCTCACCTTCGATCTAACCAAAGCCCTACTTCTGCCGAGCGATGTGACCGGCAGCGACCACGTGCCGGACAGCCGGCTCGTGAAGTCCTCGGTCAAGTCTATGACCCGGGTAAGAATTTCGCATGCTTTATTCAAAATTTTCCAAGTGTTTGCTCGGCTTCCTTTCTCTAATCAAACTCTCTTCTTGTAGG